ATCAATTTCTTTACTTGAGACTCGTCTCTTACTTCGTCGAAAATATAAAACTCATCTAGGTACCCTTGAAGGTACATTCCTGTATCACCACCTGAGGAATCAAGGTACCTTCCTATCATCACTTTCTGGCCCCACGATATTTGGTTCACTTTGCCGACTTGATCCGTCGTTAATACCTTTTGGCCGTTGACAAATATTTTCAGTTTTCCTTTGCTTCCATCATAAACGGCGCCAATGTGGGTCCAAGAACCTGAAATTTTTTTACAAGCGTGGTCAGTGTAGTCGATCTCACAGATACTTTGAATGCTAAATGAATCTGACAGAAACTAGTTTCTTGATATTTATAGGTATCTCCTGGGTTGCATCTGTCTCGACTACCTTATCTTACGTTCAGAACCTGCGTCCGAGTTTGGCCGTGTCCTTTTCCTTTTTTATGTTTGTCTATGAAGTGTTGCATTAAAAAAGTATACATTCAATATACATATTTTTGATTTTTTTACATATATATCATTGACTTTTCAGATATTCTACCTTTATAAAAGAGTTTCGTGTGAGTTCTCTCCACAATTGTAAATCTGCTTTTCACGATTGCGCTCCCGACACGTACCTATTTCAAAAGCACTTTTTTATATATACTACGACGAATAAAACATTTTTGGGCTCACTCGTTAACTAAACTTCAAGGTAAAACAACTTAATCAGTCAATTGTGCAAAATTACAGAATGATTTGAGCGTATTAACGTACATTTACTCGACAGTATACCGCGATACCAAAGAGCTGGGATATAAAGCTTCTCAAGGTTTTCTCGTAATCTAGAATTTTCTTTGGTTGAAAATTTATAAAATTAAGATTTTGTCTGTTTTATTTTGTTCACTTTCCGTCCTTACTTTCCTTCCATGACAGAAATGTCAAATAGTGCAGTTTTCAAATCATGACGCAATTACTACCACCCGATTGCAGTTTCAGACACTACATGAGCTTAAAATTTTTCATCCACATCATTGATTTAATAACACGATGACTAAAAACTCTGACGAAATGAAACATTAAAAAGGAAAGCAGAACAGCGGCAAAGCTGTTGTTAAATCTTGAATGGTGAAAATTTGATATCAGTACCTGGTATAATGACCGCCTCAGTCTGAACATTAAATATATTTCCTGGTCCGCCTTCGAGAACATACATCCAACGGATGTACCCATTAGCAGAACCATATTTGGCATTAACCTCTAACCGCTGAGCAACACCGCCTCCCACGCATGCGTAGATGACGTTGGTATGACTCAAGGTTTCTATTTTGACCCAGGTGATCAGACTCATCTCCTTCTTTATCAGCTTGCCGAGCTTAGCAGGGCTTACGTTCAGATCACCATTTTTAAAATAGAGACCAAATCCACAAACGGGGCCCAAATGCTGCATGGCTACCTGACCCTCAAGCACTCCTTCAATGCCATATTTCGATTCGTCGATGACAAATTTACCGTTTACATTGCTAAAGCTAAAATGGAGTATGGGTTCTAAAAGAAAAGATTAATATATAATAGATTAGGAATTTATTCATAACCCGGTTCTTAAAAGGCTGATTAGTGCTAATTGAGGATTAAATGTTTAAATCCATTATTGCATCTAGCTACCTAAACATTGTTGAGAGTATCAATTTTTTGGTATAGGTAATAGCATGATTTGTAGTGATATTTGGCATAAATACCACGAGTGATATTTCAAAATTGCTATATGTAATTTCACGAGCCGTTAGGCGAGACAATTTTGAAATATCACGAGTGGTATTTATACCAAATATCACGTATGAATCATGCTATTATTTGTTTATACTACTACCTGCAAGAGGTTTGCAATTTTCACATGTAGGTATTTCAAATTAAGCTGAAATACCACTGCGCTAAGCCAATCAAATTGCAGATTAAATTGCAAATCGAGAGCAAATTGCAAATCAAATTTGCAGAGCAAAAAATTGCAAATCAAATTTTTCATGTAGTAGTATTGATTTCATAGTGATCTCGGAGTTAAATATCAGTACTTAAAATTTGGCTCGAGTTAATTTGGCTCGAGTTAATTAAAACGTAACTACCTACGAATAACCATGTCCCGGAAATTAGAAAATACGTTTCAGTATGCGTTAGGTGACGCGCTTGCTCGCTGGAGAGGCAAGGAAAGTTAGTAGCCTGTGAAAGTAGACGTATTTCAGGTTGTCATGTTCGGAGAGAAGACGCGAGTAGACGTCAGCGCATATTGCAGGCTAAGGCAAGGGTAAACTTATGTCGCAAATATTTCTGTACAATCACTTACGCAAGAGACATGGCGAGTGCGAGGGCTCATAAATCTGTTTACAACCAGTCAATAGATAGGCACATTACTTAAAGCAATCTAGGATACCAAATTAGGACCCTGTTTGTTGCCAAGGATTTCTTATTCAGGGTCACGATACATTTAAGCCCTTCAATCCATTCCTCAGAACAACAATAAAATTAAATGAAATAAATAAATAAATAAAAGTATCTGCTATTCACGATTAACGTATTTGCAATATAACTTCATTTCTAAAAATTTCTAGGGATTAATCTACCTTTGTTGCTTGAAAACAATGACAATCTCGGTAAAGCATTTTCCATTTGTGCATGCAGCTCAGTAGAAAGTTTTGTGATATTATTAACATGCAGAGGTCTTCTTTTATTTACTGAAAGGAACAGGCACATGCGTTGGGGAAAAACAAATATGATTAATATTAACAAATGAACCTTTACTCATGTAGGTCATCAGCTGTAGAAAGCGTCTGTTATGTAACCAATCAAATTTCTCTCGTCATTCGTGAATATCGCAAATTGAGTATCACTGGGTCTAAGTTAGAGACTTAACATCGTACCTCAAATGAATTCATAAGTACATTAACGGAAGCTTCGCTCTTAGGTTTGGCTAAACCTATATACTAGAGTCGGTCTTTGAGTTCGTTTTGTTTTAGAGATGCGTACGTGAACTCACATCGCATGTCTTTTCAAAGCTCATGGTCATGCAATTCCAAGAGTAATCTATTACGTATACAAAGATGACCGTTAATCTTTCAACTGATGTTTTCTCAATTAAGGCTGCGTGCAAACGAATGCAACAACTCCCGACAATGTTGGGACCTGCAGTGCATCGTGGGAAGCCCATAAGTCTTTGTAAACCATGCGTAATGAGCGTGCGGGGTCACAACAATGTTGGAAGAGCTGTGCAAACGGATCCAACATTGTTGCGCTACGCTTCGGCGATCACGGAACAAAAGAAATGTTGGGAGTTGTTGGCTGAAAAGTTTGACCGGTTTCAAACTTTGCGCAACAACACGCAACAACATCCAACAACATGCAACAGGGTATGCAAACGGACGCAACATGTAACATCCAACAATGTTGGGGGTTGTTGGTCAACAATGTTGCGTCCGTTTGCACCCAGCCAAACTTTTCAGCCAACAACTCCCAACATTTCTTTTGTTCCGTGATCGCCGAAGCGTAGCGCAACAATGTTTCCATTTGCANCCAACATTGTTGCGCTACGCTTCGGCGATCACGGAACAAAAGAAATGTTGGGAGTTGTTGGCTGAAAAGTTTGACCGGTTTCAAACTTTGCGCAACAACACGCAACAACATCCAACAACATGCAACAGGGTATGCAAACGGACGCAACATGTAACATCCAACAATGTTGGGGGTTGTTGGTCAACAATGTTGCGTCCGTTTGCACCCAGCCAAACTTTTCAGCCAACAACTCCCAACATTTCTTTTGTTCCGTGATCGCCGAAGCGTAGCGCAACAATGTTTCCATTTGCACAGCTTTTCCAACATTGTTGGGGCCACGCACGCTCATTACGAACGGTTTACAAAGACTTATGGGTTGTATCCTTCCCACGATGCACTGCAGGTCCCAACGTTGTTGGGAGTTGTTGCATCCGTTTGCACACCGCTGCCAACACGCATGCAACAACTCCCAGCATTGTTGGCGCAACAACGTTGGGATTTGTTGCGTCCGTTTGCACGCAGCCTAATGGACAAAATAAACAGTCCTGTAAAAGCAAATACTGCACAGGAGACTAAAATCAGTTACAAATATTAATCACAAATATTAGCCATTAGAGCTACACTTACATGAACTAGAACTTGGGGATATTTTAAGCGTAAAAAGCGCTATAAAGTTGCTCTGCAATTTCGCACTTACTCCCCCTGTTCGTTTCCGAGAAAACAGGTGTAGTTCCTGCAGTCTTAATCTTTTTCTCAAGTCAAATACTAAATCATTTTATCTACAGTTAGTTAAAGAGTAAATTCCACTCTTAGTTATTGTAGTTTAGAAACATAGCAAGGTAGGATCTTGCAGCGCAAACGTACCTTTAGGTGTAACAAGCAGATCCGACTGAGACGTTTCACTTTCATTGTTCACCTTCTGTGGAGGTCTGGGATCTGATAGTGGGGCGAAGATAAATTGAGGACCCCCTGGTTCAGACGTGCTCGATTGATGCAGTTCATTTTGCTCTGGGCCTCCATTGTAGTAGTTATTGTAGTAAAGCTGGGAATGTTGTTGGGGACCATATTCTTTTGTTTCCATGTAGAGCGGCTGTTGATATTGTGTGACGCCATTGTAGAAAGCTTGAGACGATACTAAAGTAAGTGGATAAATAAAAGGATCAGTCAATCAAAATCAACCAATCAGTCAATCAATCAGTTGATCTTACCAATATATCTACCATGTATCTGTCGCTCGTTCGGTCGGTTAGTCTATCCGATGATCTGTCTGTTTGTCTGTCTGTTGGACTAATTTATAAAAAAACTGATTTTTTTGGTAAGTAAGTTTTTTTATAGAACTTTCAATGAAAGTATTTGTTTCTGTTTTTAAAAATAAGAGTTTGATGTAAAGAGTTTTTGTCATTATGAAATTACCGTTTTCAAAAAAGTGAATCTATCGACAACATTCAATCAACAATCAATCAATCAATCAATCAATCAATCAACCAATTTCACTGTCTGTCTGTCTGTCTGTCTGTCTGTCTATTCATCTTTCAATCTACCTATTAGGTCTATAATTCGTCACAAGCTAAAAAAGTATGTAAGACCGTCATTTAACAATTATTGCATGGATGAGGTTGTGTATCATCTGAAGAATTATGGAGATATCGGAGGATGTCAATCGGCCTCGGCGGATAACATCCTCCTAGAACTCAATAATTCTTCATATGGTACGAAAGCCGAATTCAATAATTGTTTTATTGTCCATTCAAAATTATTCCTAGCTTAAAAACAAGCTAAACCATGGTTACCTCCATCCCTACTAAGTTCATCTTCAGTTGCCTGTTAATACGTTTATCGGCAAGTTTAGGAGATAAAGGGTCTTTCAGTACTGCAAATCTTCTCCAAATAGCCATTACTTTAGCTTATAGTTCGCCTATTTCTTCCTTGTGAAACGACTGAAATGGCGGTTTCTCCATTTTGTACTCACTATCAAAAGAACTTAACCTCGTCCCCAGGTCTTCTAGGTTATCTGTTCAATAATCTGGCATTTTTGCTGCACAGTTGACGTCATTTTTCAGATAACGCAAAATTTTTCCAAATTTGGTCGACAGAAGTTGGTTATGATAAATTATGCATGGGATTTTAGCCAATCAGAAACGGACAAATATTTTGAATGAATAATGATTTTTATGGTGGACCCTGCGAGCAGAGTCTCCTTTGATCTTCCTAGATAAGTTATCTATGAATATCGAAGAAGACTCTGCTCGCAGGGTGTAATTTTTGTTACTAACTGGTTATTTCTCTGGCATTGCAATGCGGTTAGAATGTTTGAAACTAAACCGTTTTTTTTTTAATTCGGCAGTTGCAGCTAATCACTGTAGCTTGGGGGCAACCCCTAGGGTTTCTCAACTTTGTTCCTTGTGAAACTAGCCTTCTCGATTTCTTTCCATTACTAAATGTGTCCAAAGAATGACGCTTTCTTTACTATAAGAACATTTCATTACTTAACTACCCTGAGCTGATCATGAGGATTCCTACCTGATTTTACAGCAATTTTTTAGTTTTTTATTTGCAGGTATTTTTCTTTCCTTTTACTCTTCGTCTGGTCAATAACTATTTAATATTTGATTATAGTTACTAACCTAAAGTAAATAGGTTAATGAGCACCAGAGTTAGCCAGGTACTTCTGACTCTGAATTCATCCATTATGGCTATGTACTGCAAGCCGGAAATGACGGAGTCGGCAGCCGATAATCTAAAGAAATGATTAAAGAACATCGTTTACATTAGTTTATGCAGTCAAAACTCCTGTGCCTAGTTTTAGTTGTTCGAAGGTCGATTAGCGTTAAGAGAGCGTTAAATTTTCATCACGGTTTCTTACTTTTTCTTTTGTTCAAAAGCATTTTCTCAGTTAATTTCCTCTGTTCTTAAATTTTTGAGCAAATTGTCGACAAAGAGAAGAAAACTGAATTCGCTTTTTACGCTTAAATGCATGTCTGGTTTCAAATTTGGCATAACCTGGGTAAACCCAGCTTTGAACAACCGGCCCAGAAAACACAAGCCAAGGGTCTGCCGTTATGAAGTTGTAATAAAGTTAGACGGAGGAAGGTCCTTATACTATGGAAACCATGGGAACTGTCCGTAATAGAATGGAGACAGGCCCTCCTGTTAAATTCCGTGTTGGCCTTAGGAGTTAAGGAGCCTGGGGCCCGCGCCGTTTCTCGGAAGTTACGAAAATATGATCAGCACCAGAGAATTTAATAATAATAATAATAATGATAATAATAATAATAATAATAATAATAATCAACTTTATTTAACGAGGGTAACACGGGACAGTACTTCAACTGAATAAGTAGAATAACTAATTTAAACGTCTCCCTTCCTGTCCTTGCCAATATTTCTGCAATTAGCTAAAAGTGCTAAATGCAGAATAAATAGAAAATGAAACATTCTTGTTTAATTATATGTAAATCTTTACCTTCCTTCATCGAAAACTAGACGTGGCAAGTGGACTAAGCGATTAGTTGCCAGACCCAAAAGATCGAGACATTTGCAATAATTAATAATGCTTTCACGCGCGCACGTACTCTGACCGTTCTTTTAGGTTTAGACTGTACCCGCGTCATAGTAGCAGGTTATTTAACAAATGATTATCGAACACTAGCTTACCCTTTTGGAAATTTTTGTGATGACTTAAAAAGTTGCTGCTCTAAATGCCTGCGGGCAGTGATTGAGTCATACACTCGTAATAACACAAACCATGACAAACGATAAGCATAAATTATAATATTCAAAGTTCTGGACGTTCTGCAGTTGGCAATCGCTTAAGCTTTTTTCGCAGTAGAAACCTTGCCAATGCCACAAAAAGCGAAAGGCTCATCCTCCGTGAAGTTTCGGTCTGTGACTAAAAAAACACAACCAAACGCTGTCCAAGGAAAGGAAAAATACGCCGCAAAAATAACTTTAAACTCACGACGGTGATTTTTGCTAGAAACACTTGCTGTGA